GAGCAACAGCCCAATCCATGGGGGAAGGGATGAGGCATGTTGAGCCACAGCAGAGCAGCTGGATTTCCTCCCTGCCTCCCTCCTTCCCTGCCTCCCTCACTCCCTCTGCGCAGGCAGTGCAGCACAGCCAGCCTTGGCGCCCCTGTGGAGCAACCCCAGCCTCTGGCACTGGGAATTCCCAGGTTACAGTAAGTTCAAGTAGAGTAAAGGTTCACCCCAAGCTGCTGATGAGCTGGCAACCACTGCCTTGATGACCTGTTTTTGATTATCCTACTGAGAGCTTAATTTAGTTTTATTTTTGCCAGTTGATATTTGCTGTCCCAGGGGTAGAGCATTGCATCGTGTGCTCTGCATGCAACCTTACGGTTGTTTTTCAAACATGTAAATAGAGGTAAGTTGTTTCTCTCAAATCTCTATCTATTAGAGCTCATTTTTAGTGCTATGTTCACTTACTACAAATCCCTTGGATTTTGAAGTTCCTGTTTCAGTTCGCAAACCTCAATCTCTATTTAAAGTATTATTAGAGTTGATTAACTGTAAGGAAAGTAAATATTAGTTTTGCTGACTAAAGTAATGCCCGTAAACACAGCAGATAGATTACTTTTGATGATGGATTCAAACACCTTCAGGGACTGCTTGGTCTCTCTATTTACTATTACCAATGTTGAAATTTTTTTATCAAGGCTGGCAGTTTCTTCTCACAGAAAATCTTTATTGCAAGGCTGACCTGCCTAACACCTCCCTATTAGTAACAGAAACAAATAAGAGTTGATTGTTCAGCTGCTGTCATTTAAAAAGACTAAATCAACCTGCCACAAAAGAATAATTCCCTCTGGTAACTTTATCCATTTGCCCTTCGTGGTGACACTGTGGATACCACCCTGGTTGAACTATATATTAGTTCCTAGAGAAGCATTTCTAAATATATAGCTCTGCACAATGTTGTGATTGAAAAAAAGCAAATAGCTATGCATGGTTCAGTAATCTGAAAAGAATGCAAAGGTTCAATTCTAATTGCTTTGCACAATTTAGTACCATTTTGCTGTGCTTTCCAAATGGGTTTATTCTGCTGCTCTGTGTATATCTGTTATATAACATGCCAGCATTGCCTATATACAGACAGCTCTGTTTTTTAAAATGATGTGTCAGCAATTTTATTTTATGTTTTGAGCATATTTTTAAAAGACTTACCTAACCAAATGACCCACTCTGTGTGTTTGCTTATCAGAGTGCTACAAAGGATGCAGTAACCTGTCAGATGAGTTATGAACTTGATTTTAAGCTTATTCATTATAGCTGTCTTTCTTTTATCATCTTGGAATCAAATCTCTATGTCCTCTTTGGACTGGAGAATGTTTAAAAGATGTTGTGAAATATATACTTTTTAAAATTTTGATTGTTGCATCCACTGAGGCTGACTTTTATTTATTTTGCAAACCATTTTTCTGTATGCTTTTAGATATTAAAGCCCATATACTACCTATCTGTGAAGAGCTGCTGTTCTGAAGTCTAAGGAAGAATGATTGAACAACCAATCATCGGACTGGAACTTCAGTTTAACTTCAAATTGCTTTTTTTATTTTATAAAACTGATGATTTTATTGTCACATTTTGCTCTTAGTGCATTCCTCACATAAATCCTACAAATAGTATGGTTATAATTGAGACTAATTAAAAATTATCTATAAGAATTGTTAATATTATTGATACTTATAAATATCCCAGAGACTAATTCACCTTGCTTCTTTTGAAGGTAAATTATCATACTGCTAATAGGAATGGTAATAAAAGTTAGTTAAGATGTAATTCAAAATCTGTCTCTGTCTATCTATCTATCTATCTATCTATCTATCTATCTATCTATCTCTCAAAGCTTTTATTCCAGCTAACTAGAGGAATGTTTTGGTTGGTGGGTTTTGCATCTGGTTATTTTAAGGTTTCTGTGCTGTTTTTATAATGATATGGATGAAAACAGAGTTGTACTGGGATTTAAAGCAGGCAACTCCAAAAGGGTCAAATTGTTAGAAAGCTTAGGAAAAACACTTGCAATATTTTCCCCGGTTTGTATAGACATGTATGTGCAAAAGACTTGAATATAAATACAATCACACATTTCACATGCGCCAAAAAGTGTGCTAGTAAATGTTACAGTGCTTTTGGGAGGCTTATTGGAAACACAATCCCAGATGAGGGAAGTGTATGGGAATAACTATACTGTCAGACTATCAGGATGTGAATGGTTTAACAGAACAAAATGAACAGCAGAGAGAAGCAATTTTCTGTTAATAAGTAAATTTAAAATAAAATTAGTCTTCTCCATTTTTGGTGGGAAAATTAAAGACAAAGGGAGACCAAAGAAAAGAGAAAATAAAGAGAAACAAATTAATATAACCTGAAGTAAAAACAACTGATGATTGATAGGCAACAGAGATTGAAACTATTTTTAGATTTCACTTAGTGGTATTGCACAATGATCTTCGTTCTAGGGCAAGGAAGCTTTAGAAAGTCTGTAGGAGATATGAGGAGCCTTAAGATGTTAGTTTTTTGTATGCATATCAGTCTCCAGGTAGCTGTAGATGCAAATTTTTAAGTTATCCTAACTTTCAGCATATTTGTATCCCAATGATATTGTCTTATTATTCAATAATTAAAGTCTTACACAAACTGATTTCTAATTACCTATCAGTATACTGATTATAGGATATAAAACTGTTGTTAGGACAGGTATTCCTTAACATTAAGATAGCCAGTAGAAATTTTCTCTCTCTAGCTAATTTTGATTAGTCCTGCAAACAGTTTGGGACTGATTACTCAAATGTTAGCTAAGATGGTCAGATCGTGACTGTTTTCTGTGGAGGCAGAGAATCCACTGAAGGTTATTTTACTATAGCTGAAAAAGAAGCTTTGAATTTGGAATCAATAACAAGATACAGAATTAAAGAGTTAACTTCTACAGTTTCACTGCTATTCCTCTGTGGCAGGACATTATTAACAAAGGCTTGATTGTTGCTTTGGCTACAAGCATAAAGTACAAAAAAACTTCATGAAGGTCCCAGACACAGACTGGCATCTAGTCCGACTGTCCTTTTCCAAAGCAGTTTTCTATTAAATAAGTCCATTATTACAATATGGTAGCTTTAATTAAATCTCTATAATCTTCCATCAGGAAAATGGCATTAGCCTGCTAGCCAGGAAAATATGATAAGTCCAAACAGTATCCCTGTTATTAGTACTTGATTGTGTGTTGGAGTGTTTGATCATAGGCATGGAGATTTGGATGCTGCTGTACAGGGAGGCTGGCCCAGTGCACTCAGGAGTGTGTGTGTGCTGGGCTTTATAACAGTTACAACTCTTTCTAACTTCTCGACCTGAAATCCTAAAGGCTGCACAAAATACTGCTCCTGTACTGGTCCAGCTCATTCTTGAGTGGTTGTGGCACACAGAAGTTCTTGAACTAGCAAGATTTATTAGCACATGGGAAAACAATGATGTGTGTAACACATATTTACCAAACATAAACGTGTCTTTCCCTGATGGTTATAGTGCTGGGAACTGTACATATAAACAAAAATAAAATTGTCATTTTTGCATTTAAGTTTTGGTTAGATTATATGAAATAACTGGATTAAAAATCACACCTTTAAATGCTGGTTCAGGTGTTGAGGTCAGGAGAATTTCCAAGGGATTTGATCCGTCTCTTTGGATAAATGCACTAGAGATAAAGAACTGGCAAATAGCAGCCACTGATGTGGTTGTTTAATAAGTGGATTTAAATGTTTCTGTCCAATTTGTCTCTAAGATATATACTTATCTTTTGTCTTCCCACCACTTTTGGGTAAGTGGCAGTCCCAGCAGACTGAGAAGGGGTGTGGTGCACAGGAGCTGTGTGTGCTGAGTACACACTGCTGGGGAGAGCTGCTCAGGTGTCTGTGTCATCAGACAATTCTTTCTTCTAGGGAAAAGCAGCAAAACAGAAGACCATGGTGCTCTTTTTGCTAGAAGTCCACTTTTCCTTGCTTCCACTGAAATGACTGTCAGCTGGTGTTGACTTCAGGGGAATGAGAATGAAGTCCCATGTGACAAATATTAAAATGATGGTAGTCCAAGAATTCTGAGTTTTATAGGAATGCAATTATCTTAAATATGGGCTGTTACTACCACCAGGAAAAAAAAAACCAACCCAAACCCAACCAACCAAAAAAGGGGAGGGATGCAATTACCCAGAGAGCAAGTGGCATGCTTTTCATTGATTAGACTGTCCTGTTCGATTAAATTCCTCAGTATTTTTAATTTTCTAGGCCTAATTGCTGCCTTACATTTTTCTTGGGTCCCTTTGTTCTAATTCATCTGCTTTCAGGTCCAGATTTATTTTTTCAATCCATTCAGATTCTCCACAAACTTATCCTGTCATTCTGTGTTTTGTCTCTCTCTACAGATGGTTATTTGACAGAAAGTTTCCATTGACTCCAGAGAATGAGTCCTGTAAATACCGTTTGTGGTTCTCAGATGGAGTAGTTGCAAAATGGAATTGATTAAAAGGTCAAAAAGCATTACTGTTGCAATGTCTGAATTGCTCCATCAAAGTGTTAGTGGGACAAATGTGTGCAAATTCTTGCATCAGACTAATCTGGATTTAAAAAAATTCTTTGATATCAGCTTTCTGATGTTTCCCAACAAGAGAGACAAGCTAGAAACTAGTGTTTCCTCTTATACTATTGTCAGTCAGTAGTAACTCTGGAGGTAATGAAGTTCCCTTAGTCAGAGTTACAGTATTTATACAGGATTTAGAGTCAGTATGTAATCTATTTTTAAAACTCTGGAAATTCTAAGTGGTTCAAAGTAGCAGTTTTGAAAACAATAATTTCATTAGTATATCTAGCTAAGAATTCCTGCAGAAAATGGAAGTAAGAAGTTATTTTCTACAGTGAGAAGTGATCTTTTCTACAGTGATTCTCCTATAGAAAGACGAGAGCGTACCTTGTCTTTCTACAGGAGAATCACAGGATTCTACAGGAATTACAGAAATCTACAGGATTTCTACAGGAGCCAGTGAGCATCAGTAATCCCAGACCTGTTACTCATAAAGTAAATGACACAGGAGAAGAGGTGGGTGTATTAACAGAAGGCCAGCAAAGTCTGAAAGGTGGTGATACTAATTTATAAGGGTGTCATATATGGGGCTTGGCAAAAGGTTATTTCTTGGCAAAATCTTATTTCCACAGGAGCCTTTACTGTCTTTTTATCTAGCCATCCTACAGGATGTAAATTTGCTCTGCATTACTTAAAAAACATCCCACAAAGAGTTATTGGCTCCTGGCTATCTGCACTGAATCTTGATGGAGACAACATAATTATAATTTTCTTGCCAGCTAGGTAAGCCCCATTCACTGCCTCCTCCTTGGGGTTTTTCCAGCAGCAAATGTCACTGAGCTGAATTGAACAGTCCTTGGTAAAACACAAACCTTTGCTCCACAAGGAAAGCAAAGCCTCAGTGTGTATAACTTCTGTGTCCCTCCTCTCACTTGAGAGCAGAGAGAGGTAATTTATGTCTGTCTGCAACATCTTTTGTGAACTTGAACTAAGCCTCAAGAGCCTAAATAGGGAGCTGTTTCTACTTTTTGTTATCTGCTCTTGTGAACGGAGAGCTTATTTTGGAATGTAGGAAGTCACTTTGGCTCACTCCTGGTCTAGGCAGGCAATCAATGGGCAAGAAGATTGTACACAAATTCCTTGTAAAGTTTGTATGTGTCCTGGGTGGACTCAAGAACTGACTTAAAATTTACTTAAAATTCTCATTGCAGATTCACAGGAGAGTTGAGGCTGGAAGGGACCTGGGGAGGTCACCTGGCCCAGCTTCTCTACTCAAGCAGAGCCAGTTGCCCAGGACCATGTCCAGAACGCTTCCACGTATCTCCAGTGAGGGAGGCTCCACAACCTCTCCGGGCAACCTGTGCCAGAGCTTTTTGCCTCACAGCACAAAAGTGTTTCCTGTTGTACAGAGGAAACCTCTCGTGTCTCAGTTTGTGCCTGTGTGCCTCCTCTCCTTAACTGGGCACCACTAGAAACACCCTGGCTCCACCTCCTTTGTGTCCTCACTACAGGTATTTATGAACACTATTGAGGTCTTTCTTCCTGCAAAACAATTTCAAAGCAAGTAGGTTTTATGAGGGAAAATAATTTTGCCTACAGATTTGAACAAAGCTGTTTTTGCATGAATCTTGGGAGTAGCTATACCTGTAGGATGTGTCATTGGTGCCTAACCTCCACTCTGTCTTCTGGAGCCCCCTGCAGACCTGCCTTTCATCACAAAGGAGCTTGTTGCTGCATGGACAGCAGGGCTGGCTGGCACATGCAGTTTGAGCCACAAATCTGAGGCACGTTGTCACATAGAGGGTGAGCGGAAAGATGGCAAGAGCAGCCAACAAGCACTGAATTATTTTGTGTGACTAGAAAGTGGTGATGTGCCAGATGAACTGTTGTGGTGGGCAGATGGCAGCCTGTGAGCCTGGGGCCTTATTGAACCAGACATACGACCTTGTTTCTTGAACAGTGAGAAGTATTCAACACGTCCTCTGGAAACATTTAGGGATTGCTGGTGTTATTGCAGTTTATCTAAATTATTTGGATAACAGAAAGTATTTGCAGAGAAATGTGACTTTGCATAATCTTAAAGCAGTATGTAGAGACAGCAGAAGTTCTGCAGTTCCGTGGAACAGGAAAATCAAATTGTAAATGTCAGGACCGTCTGCATCTGTATTTTGCAGTGTCTAGTGAAATGATAGATTGCAAATGTCAAAGGTAGAACACACTACTATATAATCCTCTAGAACACTTTTATTTTCTCATTACAATTAATTCACCATTCTTCTAGAACAGACTATTATTTCCTAGCAACAATTGTGATTTCTCATATAGTACGATTGATTCAACAAAAGCTCCTTTGGATGAGTGCAGGATTGTAAAGTAGCACGTTGCCAAGTTAGGAAATAGGTCTTTTTCAAAATAAAGTCCTATAACAGGAGAAAATAAACACACAATATAAAGGAGGCATAGAGGTTCCCCAAATTCTGTGACCAGTGGAGAGGAAGAGAAATCTTTGTCTTTTGTGTTTTTTCCTGCCTACCAAGAACAGCTATACACAAAAGCTTCCCCTGGTCCCTTTGGTCTGCTGTCACTACTATGCACTAGGGTCAGGTCTGCTCTTACCTGGTGGCCTGAATGTTCACATTAATTCCTGGCTGGAGACTGGCTGGTCTCAAAAAAAACTCAGGGTCTGCCCAACTGATGGGCAGTGTTCCTTGTTCCTGCATGTGTTCTTAAGGTGCAAGTCCTTACTTTCTTTTAACCCGGTTTCACTTTCCTCTTCAAATTTAAATCTGCTCCCTTGGTTTTAGTGTGAGGACTTGAATATAGGAAATAAAAATACAAGCAGGTAAACAGGCAGTGCTCTGTGATGTGGGTGCTGAAGCATGGCTGTCATCCCTCCAGCTCACCTGCTGAAACAGCTCTGGTGGCTCTCAGGTACCACACGTGGCTGTCATGGCTGTGCCATCAGTGTTGGTCTGGCTTGGTACTATTCATGTTCTGTTTTTGTTTTGGCAAACTTCTCACACTTTCCTGAGGAAGGAACATATACAAGGGAAGCAAAGCAGTGAATTCAAGAGCATGGAGCTGCTGAAAAACAAGGTTCACTTCCCCCTCCCCTATGATAACAATGCTGTGAGTAAAGCTTCATCACCAGTGTTATGTACAGCTATTGCAGCACAGGGCTGTCAGCTCTCGTTATTTAGAAACTCAGCAAATGGATTGCATTACTTCTTCAAACAATCCTCTGAATGCAGGCTGTTGAACAGAACAAGAGGCACCAGTGCAGCTAGAGTCTGTCACATAGTTTGAACTGAAGCAATCATCTTTCCCCTCTCCCCTTGCAGCATCAAGGAGTGTCAGTGTTGGTGCACGACCATGGAATTGAAATGCAAAATAAACATGCTGCTTTTTTTTTTTTTCTTTTGAGTGGAAGTTTAGAACTGTTTAGTTGGCCCAGGGCAGAAGTAAAATATTCAGTTAAGAATAAGCCTCACAAATACAAAAATATAAGGCAGGCTATAGCATGTAGTGGACAGTTTAACCTGTTTTTTGGGTTTCCACTGTGTCATGGTATTCTGTGAAAATTCCAGTAGCATCATCAAGTCTGTTTAATGGAAATTCCTGTCATTTTGTAGAGCATTTGTAGTAAATTACCAGACTAGGAGTACCCACACATTGGAATATTTAATTCTTATGATGCTCTACTACCATTATGGGTCTTTTAATATTTCATCAATGACTTGCCATTTATAAAATGAAGCAGCAGTAAGATAGAATTCCTTTAGAATTCCTTTTGGCCATAAGAGGGCAATGGCTACAGAAATCCATCTTTCAGCATATAGAAGTAACTTACAAATGAATATAATAATTTCTTTTTGAAAGCTAATTTTTGTTAAATGTGTGCTAAACAGCACTGGAATCGCTGTCCCTAAAATATGCTCTGTGTGACCCAAATACAAGACTGTTTATAACTAGTTTATAAAACCTGTAGATATTTTGCTTCTGTGGGACTTCTGCGGTCAGTAGTACTTAGCTCTACTGTTTGCTTTTGGTCTTCTGCTTAGGGATTGTGTAGAGCCTAAAACATTTAAAAATAAAATTTAACGGAAAGCGTCTATTTGCTAACAGTGCCACGTTCTTACAGTTCTAATTTATGATTAAAGATGTGAGAAAACCACTCTGCATATAAAATCCTTTGGTGTCACATTGGTGCCAGTACTGTCTACATGCTGCCTTTACAAGCTTCTTTTCCAGTTTGCAGATTGGCAGATACAGTTTGTCCTTTCCAGTGTCAGGGACAAGAGCTGGTGGGTATGAAATAGGACCATGTTTGTGTTTGGAAAAAGTAAAGAATTTTTTGCTTAGGAAATGTTCATTTTTAAGTAAAAATGAGAAGAAAGCTGAGTTAAGAATAATAGAAATAATTCTTGAGTTTTAAAAACATGAAGACCACCTTATTAAAAAAATAAATACTCCTTTTGAGTTGCAGAGTATACCTTCCTTTTATTGCTCTGATGATGCATGACAATTTTTTTCCCTTATGATACACTTTTATCCCTACATAGTCTTATACTGCTCTCATAATGCATGATGCTGCAATTTCTTTCTCCGATGACACACTTTTGTACTGACTTATTCATGTGTCTGGCAGAATATGATGTAGAATACAATTTTATATTTATGACTAAAAGTTAAGTTTTAGTTCTTCATATACTGCCTTCTCTAAGGTGTCACATTCAATCAATAAGGCTATGAACAAGTTGCTTCAAGCACATATTCTTTTTTTCTAGACTTATTTACTTTTATTTTGGTGAACAAGCTAGATAGGGTAGTTTAAAACTCAAGCATGGACTCATTTTCTGCAGGTCAGCTTGTAATAAAAAAATGTTTAACTTGTTAGAGAGAGGAACATCAATGAAAGTTAAGGAGATTCAGAAGTCTAGAAAATTATTTTTATTAATCCAAAATGGCATATATATGCTCTCTCACATGTTTATCCTGTTTCTAAGCCAACTAAATACTAATGAGGAGAATAAGAGAGACATCCAAGGATGCTCGTTTTTGTCTCTTCCACATCACTTTTGTGAGGTAAAAACCCAACAGATATGCAACGCCATCATAGGCACCAGAGACAACAACGTGAAATACATAATAAAAATTCTCAGTTTATTAGATTTGTCCTTCTGTGATTAAAAACATATCTTAACAGCAGACATCTGTTGGACAACTTAGAGGGTTCCTTTTTGTCTTGGTATGTGAGAAAATCCTGCAGGCTGTATCGCTCAGCCCTGCTAGACCCCAGCTTGTTGCGGATGCACAGGAAATGAAGCATATGCTCAGTGGTGGAGCTGTAATAACATGCAAGTTTGGTGTAATCTGTTGAAAAGAAAGAGTGTCATTCCTTATGATGTGCCCTATGGAAAGGAAAAGGGGGGAATGCCAGGAGCCTTCTTTCCTCACCTGATCTCATGTGATACCTCTGGTTGGTTGTGTCAAGTTTGACAGAAAAAATAAGTCAAACATAAGCAGCATGCTAAAACCAAAATAATTTTGCCTCTACACCTTTTAAGCCTTGCACTGTGGTTACTGCATGGAAAGATCACTGTAAACAGAGAAATGCTATGGAGCAGAGCACCACTCTCCTCACTAATTTTCACAAGCTAGATTATTTTTTTTTTCCACTCAGTAAACATATGTCCTTCAGGCTTTCTTAAATGGGGTACCTCTTTCCTAAGTAAAAGTATTTTTCTTCCTGTGGGCCCAAATAACTCATCTTTTGAAAGGTGACTGCTTTGAAGCCAAAAGAACAAAATAGCTGCATGGGCTGCCAGCATGCAGCAGGTTTTGTTTGTGTGTGCTTTCAAAGCTAAAAGGACCTTCACTGTTTTAACAAAGTGTTTCAGGGCCAGCTTTGTGTTTTGCAAGTAAGTATGCAATGAAGCCCATGAGAGAGTCACCAAGGACATAATATTTATTTACATGCCCATGGTTCATCTGAAATTTGAGTGCTACAAAGCTTTCAAAACAGATACAAAGCTTTATGAGGTGGATTTTCAAAATCTGGAAGATTCATATGAATGAACCAATGGTAGAGAAGGCTTAAATCTTCATGTTTCAGGACACAAAATAACCTCTATGGAATTTTAGGAAGGAACTCATCTTGAATCTAAACATGCAGGCTTTGTGCCTTTCCAGGACGTTGGCAGCAGCTGAGGTTAGGCCTCTGGAGCTCAGGTCTGGCATCAAGGTAATGTGATCAATACCAGGAAATGCAGAAATGAAAGTACATGCTGGGCACTTATCAGTCTCCTCAAGACCAATGATTATCACTGCAAAAATCAGAGTTAATGAAGTACCAAATAAGTGGTGGCTTCTTAATTTCTTGGCCTCCTCAAGTTGACATTGGACACCAATTGGCAGAACAGAATGTGATGATTCCAGTATCAGAGCAGCTGGGTTAATTTTACATGCTGTGGTCTGCCTGCTTTAGAGAACGTGGAATTCAAACTGCAGG